TTCAGTTGCTGTCACTCTGACAGCCACTAGAGGCGCTTCCAACAAAAAAGCGAATAAAACTCAGGGGGCAGTCAACTAAACGGTGATTAGAACACTAATGTGTTAAGAATACACATTAGAATTCCTAACAATATAGTGTTACTTTAACAATGCATTCCATATTGGATAATATGGATATATGGATACACAGATATTGGATCATATGGATAAGAACAGGTTCTATTTAATAGCATTAGACATTATTTATACAGACAGAGTTAATTGAAAAGGCTGGAATGCTGACAATAAATAAATGAACTAAAGGCAAGTATCTTTCTATTTAAAGTGACGCAGAATCTAATATATCACAGTAGTTTCTTAGGAATACCAGCTTTGTTTAATTAATTAATTTCACACCAGGAGCCTATGAATTATACACAGATATCAGGAATGAATTTATACACACAAAGTACACAAACTAATTGAACAATTGTTCAGGCTCCTAGACGCAGTATTGTTGTATATTAATGGAATGTTTTTGCGGATTGATTCTCACCTGATATTTTAACTTTTTTATACATCCACTACTCAATTTATGTATTGCAGTGTTTGCTTTTACAGATCTGAAAGTCTGATGACTCTACTATATATTCTAGGGGGGTAAATCAATATAAGCTGTACAAATGAAGCATTTCACAAACCATATATTAAGTATTTCTTGTTTGTTTTTATTATTGCACAAACAATGGTTATTCATTTGTAGCTACAATGCATTTTCTGTTATATAAGCTGTTAAGCCCATCCAAAGAGGAAAATAGACATTTAAACTATAGACACAAGAAGCACCCAACATAAGCCAAGTGGTACTTATGTTATAAAAATAATAATTTTCAATGAATGAGCAATATGTGTTAGAGAACACAGAGCCAGAAGAGAAGCACTAAAGGCATAGAATCCCATCTGGACTCTCTTAAATCAATCAGTTTTTCTTGTTAAAAGCCTTATTCATTACTATAGCACTATCAGGCTGATCATACACGTTTTTCTGCTTAATTAGTGCTGTCTGTTTTGTCACCGAAAACACAAGACAGCTTCAAATCACTTATCCGTATTGTCATTCTTAGCCCCTTTGGTCTAATTAGCATAGTTCTAAAACAAGAGTCTGTTGACCTGTCAGATAAACAGTCGTCCTTTCATTATAATTATTACCAAGTAACACAAATTTAACAAAACATTTTATAATAAATTGTGGTTTATGGAAATTACCCACTTGACTCAAATCAATGTAGACTGGAATCCAAATAATATGTATCCTCATATATTATGCAGATAAAGAAAACAAACCTGAACAATTATTTAGGAGGCAAATACACATATAATAAATATATAGTAATATATATTTTCCCTTGTGTTTCTGTGTAGATTGTAGATTTATCACTCAAAAGTACTTATTTTTGTATGAGCAACTGAGATAACCATATCAGGTTCTGAAAAGTACAAACTTGATGTATGAACAGGTACTGCACCTCGTTAATAACAAAGTGAACTGACTTGTTATTAGGGCATTCTATATAGCAGGGGTTCCCAATTACATTTTCCAGTGAAACTCTTTGACATAGTGTATCAACATCGTGGAACCCCCAACCCTCTCTCCCCCCCTAAAAAAAAAAATGCGCCATTGCATAAACCTTTCAATTAGCAAAGCATAATGTCTTCTTTGTTGGCAATTTTTATATATATATATATATATATATATATATATACACACACACTAATTTCTACAGATAGTAAACAGATTGTAGTACTTAGTAGCAGGTGTGCTTCTGTGCGTTGAGTTGGTGTGTATAAATATATATATGTGTGTATCTGTGTGTCTATGTGAATCTGCCAGTGTGTGTGTATCTGTGTGTGTGTGTCAGTGTGTATCTGTGTGTCAAGTTCTGTATATCTGTGTGTATGTGCCGGTGTGTATCACTGTGTATGTGTGTGTATCTGACACACAGATACACACGTTGGCACAAAGATACACACACTGACAAAAACACACACACATACACACACACTGGCACAATGATACACACATTAACACATACACTGATAAATACACTGACACATATATACACACTAGCAGTAGGAGGGTGACTTCCTTTAGTGCTGCAGGCTGCTCACTCTGGATGGTGTGCCAGGTCGGCAGCTGCTAAGTCCCCGCTGCTCCCTCTTTTAGTCCACCCACCACGCTCTGTCTCGGAGGAAGTACTGTTACTTCCTCCCAGCATCCCATACTGCAGGGGCTTGGTTGTGGTCTTATACGGCCAGGCACCTGACCGGACCCCTATTTAGCGATACCCATTGAGTGGCCCTTAATGCTTGGGCCACCCAATGGGTAAATCGCCACGGAACCCCAATTTTGTTGTCACCGAACCCTAAGATTCTGCGGAACATTAATTGGGAAACTCTACTATATAGTACTTCCAGACAGTCCAGTAATAGTAAATCCAACACCTGCACTTATGCAAACATTCTTTCACGCTTTTCCTATGCTTGGGTTTCTTGTGAGTTGACAATCTACAGTCATAATGCAGTGTTGTACTTTTCTGTAGTTTTAGTGATGTCATGAGAACAGCAAACTAGAGATGTGCTACCTAACAATATGTCCTGTGAGGAATATCATGTCAACATGTTAATTTAGACTTACTTATCAAAGTGATTCACCAAACTATGAATTGTAGAACAGAGAATGTCATATTTTAGGTCTCAAATGTCAAATTAGTAAAATTTTACAGTTCAGTTATTTTACGTCCTTTGTATTTTTTGACTAAAACTATCATTTCTTGCAGGCCAATTCCAACACTTCCTAGTTTAGTGAACATCCTTAAGGGCATTCACTAAAATTTGAATCTGCAGAAATTCAAAGTGAATTTCAAGTTGTAGGCCAATATAACCGAATAGAAAACATTCTCCTAGTCAGCTTTGTTTTCATAGGTAAATAGCTATAAATGCTAAGAAGAGACTTGCGTCCATTAAGTTAAGCCTTTCTTATATCTGTTTTTGCTGTTGATCCGAAAGAAAACTTGGATAAAATTCCTTCTCAACCCCAGAATGGTAGTCAGATCTCTCCTTGGATCATGAAACTGTTACCCATTCAGTTGCTGCTTAAAAAGCTGTACAGATGCTGTTCAGACATAATTCTGCATTGTTATTGTTCTTACTGTAAAACAACTTGACTTTGCCTTTTTTTTTTTTTACAAAAATCTCCTTTCTTCCAGTCTAAATGGGTGATGCTGTGCCCTATGTATAGTCCTGTTTAGGAGTAGATTTCCAGTGACTGGTTTGTATTATCACACTATCCTAAATCCCTATGCACACTTAAGTAACTGGAGGTTTTTTAGTATCACTCCAATGACCATACAAGTGTAAGCTCACTTGACACATTAAGGCAAAACCTCTTAGGAGAGTCCTACACTAGCTATTCACCTTGCCGCTTTGAGCTAAAACATAAAATCTCTAATGAGACAGAGTAGGGTATCTTTCTAAACCCTAACACACTTATTAAACCCTAATAGGCAAAACATGGGGTGGTCAGCAGCACTGTAACATGGTTGTGTAATACAAATTCATACAGTCCCAGATGACACCAATAAATCTGAGTAGATTACTTGTCTTTAATGTCTAAATATGTCACTTGAACGAATATCACCAACTTGAATTTGTATTTATGAACGTGTAGAAACATTTGCTCATCCCTAGCCATCTGCAGAACAGGTTGACATATTACACAGGGGAGGTCAGGTTTGAGAGACAGGAGAAAATAGGGCACAGAGGTTAGGTAGGTAGGGGAGATCAAAGAAAATAAGAATAGGGAAACAAGGAAGAGAGATCCACTGGGATATTAAGATAAGAGAAAGCAAATAAAGGTGAAGAGAACAGAGACTGTTGGAGAGACAGGAAAAATAAACCCTGAAGTGGCACAGGGGAAGCGTGATTTGGAAACAGAATTCATTTTTGTTTTGGGTAGCAAAAATAATTGCCCTGACCATGAATAGTGGGTTTTAAGATAAACATGAGACAATATAAAATAGTTATCCAGAAGGAGCAGGAGTTATCTGCATACAGTCTAATTGTAACACATAGAGAGTTAATAACTTAGACTAGCGGAGACTAACGTATGGGCTGCAATTTAAAACAACAAACATCTGTGCTCGTTGACAGGAATTAATCTGTCATTTTTAAATGTCACATTGGAAAACGGAAATACAATTTCAGGCCATTATATCAATTTGCATATTTCATGAAGAAGTGTCAGCAGGAGCTATAACCTAAATAAAAATAATGACATATAGCTGCATCCTCTGTAACTAAAAATGCATTCAATTATCTGTTACCTGAGGATAATGTGTTTGTAGTCCATCGGAAGCAAAAGAGACATGTTAAACCTTATAATGTAACAGATTGTTATTAATAACTATATGATTACGTAGAGTGTGATGATTTTCCCAGGTTATTTATTCTACGTGTCAAAGACAGCAGAAAAAATATTGCCTTGCTGTATTGTAATTGGACAGGTGTGCGCCCGTGCCGGTCACTGCATTTGGGACAGGAAATGGAATGGGGTATTGTAATTCTCAGGTCTTCCAGTGAAGCATTATGCTTCTCCCCTGAGCCACATGGATTTGTATTTTTGTTAGCTTAATTGTTATTGTTTTGGTTATACATTAATCGATATCTATGTTTTACTTTAAGAGTCTATGTCTATGGGCAGAAAATGCTAATTCAAAACCCTTTTTAATTTTAGAAATATTGGGTGGTTAACCAGCCTTCATTATAAGACTATACACTAGACCTCTTTAAATCTCAAATAAAGTATTTTGTACCTTCTGACACCTTGTGAATAAAATATATTCTGGATCACTAAGTTCACAGATGCAACCTCCTGCTACACAATACATTTGGCTTCCTACCTATCTGTCAGTTTTCTTCCTGCAATTAACGAGAATTGCACACCTATGATTTCAAAGAGGTTTGGGGGGAGGATGCAGCAAAGTCTATTTATAGGGCTATCAACTGTTAGCCTTGATGTTATCAATAGAAAGCAGGAAAAATCTCAGTGTCCTCCACCAACATTCTGAAGAGGAAACTTTAGCTGGATTTAGATGAATATAGATAAGAATTATTTAAATAGTATGTAATACAAAACACATCTCAGTAATATGTGAACAATGCTCTATCAATACCAAACATATTACAAATATCTCCTGGAATGTTTTATTTTTTTTTTAAATATTACCCAAAGTGTGAATCCTGTAAAACCAAGTTAACCATAAATATTTGTGTTAAAATCGAATGAGATTTAAAAGAAGAGTATATGCAAATATTTATATTGGACAGAGTAAATATTTTTAGGCAAACAAAGACAAAGAGGCCGAGATTTATAAAGGTGTAACCAAAGAAAAAGTTGGTCAATGTTCTGTTATTAATATAATAATTATTAGCATTTATATAGTGCCGACGCATTCTGCAGCACTTAACAATAATAGATTGGTGATAGTTAGTACGCTGAAAAAAAAAAGATTTGCATACATCAAGTTCAGTCCTTTTCACATCTGTTTTATGTGGACCAAAAAGAAGGCAAAACAAAACAGTTTTTACGTACTTTCCAATTTTGTAACAAACTCAGTCAGATCTCTCATTGGATTAAGAATCTGACAGCAGGTGAAGAATTTGGAACTTCACTATAAAACCCAATTTATTCAACAGTAACACTCTACTTGTACCAAATACCAATTGATCCACTTTTAAACTTTTATGTTTTCAGTACTTGTATAAATCTCTCCTATTATTTATAACCAATCTTGAGTACACTAGCCCACTTGGTCTATGATGGGTGCACTCGTAGGTCTTTTGGGCAGAGTTACCGTGTACATTTTCCAGGATAAAAAAGAAACAGGTCAAGTATTTTCTAAAAGAGGTAGAATTCACATTTTAACACAAAACACGGTTTAAAAAAAAAGAAATCAAGTGCAAGGATAATTATGTCATATACCAGCTCCCTCCATGACATCAACATTTCTAATGACAAAGCAGGTAGGACAGCTGTGTCACCAGGGGCAAAGCTATTCTGTTTTCACTTCCGTATTACCAGTGGGGATGATTTTAGGGGCAATTGTTAAATATTGATACATGTAAGTGACCACAATCACTTCCATTACAACTTCAGACATAATGAAGTAGCAATCCAATTTGCTATATTTTCCCCTTTTTATTCTAAGGAGCACAAGTTAAAAGTAGTGTAAACACTTGTGTAGTCTGAACTCATTCCTACTGCTAATTAGGGCTAAGCAGTAATGAGCTCTAACACAATATTCAATTCAATGAACTAAACCAGACTTCACAAGTCATTCATCAGCATTGCAGTTACTAAAATAATCAATTTTAGAAATATGTTTATAAATCGAAAATTAATTCTGTAAAATGTGCAAAGCAAATACATACTAAAAAGCCAGAGGATTCTTGGATTTGTCTTTTTTCAGAAGTTAAAGTCAGTCACTTCCTTTGAAAAACTAAATCTTCATGGCTTAAAATTAGATCAATCGAGGTTTTGAAAAATTACTGAAAAAAAAAAAAAAGATACTGCTACAGTCTTGGTTTGCCTCAGTGATAATAATATATGTCTGGTTTCATCAAAGTGTGCTAGGTTTTCTTAAAAAAAACTAAGAACCCTGAAAGTAATGGGTATTAAGTTAAAGACATTTAAGCGGATTTTGATAAATAATCTACAATCTACACTTTAAACCCTTAGATAAAAATAAAATTAGTAATGGTCATTTCTCTGCCAGTGCCGCTACACCACACAGGTTTTGAACCACAGGATGAGGGGCCCATTAGCGGACCTATACACTTATGGCCACCCGATAGCCATGTGGAGCGTGCGGTGCATTAACAGTGCAACTGGGGTTCTGTCAGATTTCACTACCCATCACAAATCTATGCCCATGTCATATCCTCTAAATTTAGGGTTAGATTTAGGGGATAATTTTTTATTTTGAGATTAGGGAACCCATGGGGAAAAAAAATTAATTAACCTAATTCAAACCCTACATTTTCCATGTCCTTGTACTTTAATTTTATATATTATTTATTACTGGCATTTATAAAGAGCCAACTCACACCTCTATAGTCGGTCCTCTTATACCTCACCCCTCTGCCAGTCCTTACATTGGCTTCCTGTATCCTATATGAGTGAATTCAAAGTGCTAACCCATACCTATAAAGCATTGACCAAGTCTTGGTGCCAAACACTGAATACAAGGTGCACCCTACAAGACTGCCTATCCAATTGCTGCCTAATATATCCTACCCCTTGACAGGTGCCATTGTAACAAAATAATCAATGTTATTCAATTCACTTGTCAGTAGTTTTAATGCTTTGGGTGGCCAGTGTATAAAACATTGTCATTGGTAGGGTTGCCAAAACAGGTTTTAGTAAGCATTTGAATTGTTCATTCTTTAAGACTGGCCTTGAAAGCGGTGTCTGTCTGCAAGCAAAAATGTGTGTGCTGCCAGTGTGAAATGAATTAACCAATTCTGGCATTTCCACTTGTATATTGGGCGTAATTAATTAATTGATTTACACTGGCTACATTTAAAGTCTACAAATTTTTAGGTAGCATTAACTATGCACATATGGAGATCATGTGAAATTAGCAGCTGTCATAGGAATACTAATGATATGCACTTATAGGTTTATTCATTAAACACCGTATTTTGTCCAGATTAAAAAATCTGGTGAAAATTACTGAATTTCAACTGCAAGACCTCAGTGGTTCGAAACATTGTCATGGCAATGCTCTGACACAGCACAGTGTTGAAGCTCGCGAAAAGTGGCATCTAAGGACTGCACCTGATAGAAGTGCAGGTCTAGAGACCCCACTGGACCACCATGGCTTTCAGTGTCCCCCTCCCTGCTCAAAGAAGGGGGGGGGGTGGATATTAAACTTTCATTTTTCAATTCAGATTCAATTAAAACAAAAATAAAATAAAATTATATTTATATATATTGTTCAGTTGCTCTCTTCTTATCCCTCCCCCATACACACAAAACAGGCCACAACATACTCGCATACACTGCATCCCTCACACAGTACATCACTGATATAAACACAACCTCCCTGACACACACAGAACATTCCTGACACACACTGCACATTCTTTACGCACATACTAGATGCCGAAGGCACACACTGCACAACCTACACACACACTACATCCATGACACACTGAGTCATCCCTAACACCGAGTACATTCCATATGCACACTATGGATCCCTTATGAATATGCTAGATACCCTGCAGACACACACTGCACCAACTACAAACACACACACAATATCCCTGACCAGGGCCGGCATGTCTTATAGGCAACTTAGGCAGTCGCCTAGGGCGCACTGGTCCGGGGGGCGCAAGTTTTGAGTGAAACAGCGCTCCCTCCTGCCAGTCACTCAATGTAGCATGGCCAGGCGGCGCGGGTCACGGTACAGGAGTTCTGTTTCCTGTACCCGGCCGGACTGAAAGGAAGTACTCTCTCAGTGGGCACTTCCTGTCAGTACGGCCGGGTACCACAAACAGAAGCTCCTGTACCGCGATCAGCGCTGCCTGGCCACGCTACAAAGAGGCACAAAAGGGAAGGGAGGGGGCAATAAGGGAAAGGGAGAGGGGAGGAGAGACTACTATTGGAAAGATGCGAGGGAGAGGAGAGACCACAAAGGGAAAGAAGGGGGAGACCACTAAGGGAAAGATGGGGAGAGACCACTAAGAGAAAGATGGGGAGAGACCACTAAGAGAAAGATGGGGGGGGGAGGAGAGACTACTATGGGAAAGATGTGAGGGGGAGGAGAGACCACAAAGGGAAAGAAGGGGGACCACAAAGGAAAGATGGGGCAGACCACTAAGGGTAAGATGGGGGTGGAGACCACTAAGGGAAATATAGGGGGGGGGAGACCACCAAGAGAAAGATGGGGGGAAAGGAGGGACCACTAAGGGAAAGATGGGAGGGGGTAGGAGAGACAACTAAGGGAACGATGGGAGGGGGTAGGAGAGAGCACTAAGTGAATGATGGGGAGGGAAGAAGAGCCCACTAAGGGAAAGATGGGAGGGGGTAGGAGAGAGCACAAGGGGAGGGGAAATCATTAAGGGATGTTTGGCAGGGGAGAGCATTAGGGATGGGGGCAGGGGAGAGCACAAGGGGAGGGGAGATCACTAAGGGACAGGAGGGCAGTGGAGATCACTAAGGAGAGTACTGAAAAATAATACATACAACACAAGGAACATATACTAAACAATCAGAATGGCCCTATCTCAAAATAATCAGTGTGAATAAAGTATAACTTCATGAATGTCCTCATTGTGCCTTCAAGGGCACTTCACTTTACTTAATAAAAAATCAGAATATCAAGACAGTCCCTGTAGCTAATGGGTAATTCACTATTGCTTCTGCACCACCTTAGGTGAGAAAAAAATAACAAAATAAAAAGCCATCAATGGTGTTTTTGAGGTTTTTGGCCTGCGCCAGCTCCCTTGTTCCCTTGTTTTCCAAAAAAGCAGGATCCTTATAATATCTAATGAAAAAGCTACGATAATTCAGAAAGAACCCTGAGCCCCGACGTATGCATTTTGCCAAACGGACTGCTCTTAAGTATGTCTAATACTGCCATGTAATAAAAAACATTGTGGTCTATGCTCTAAATTTGCTTCCCAGTATTGTATACACGCTACATTGCCATCATGGGTAATATAGTGGTCCTACAGATCATATTCACTATTGTATTAACTAGGTGAAGATTAAAAGGTCTGTAAATCATAAAATGTCCTTTGATATGATATAATGCCATACATCATTAAGTATTGCAAATTGTCATGTCATTAAGAAACACTTTTTTTAAACAACATTTTAGCGAGCAAAGTAATCACACAGGACAGACATCTTATCTTCTTTTTACATACTAAATCTTAGATGGCGATTTATATTTAGAACTATAATTCACCTCTCAAGAACCAATGAGATTCTTGCCAATCTAGTCTGTGGAATAGCCTAATTATTTGTCAGCAACAGTTCAGTAGAGCCCATATGTCAGTAAATGTATAGGACATTCTGCACCAGAGTTGAGTCTAGGAGGGAAATATTGTTTTAATGGCAGTTACTGGTTCTCTGGAAAGGTTAGTAATATTTTTTTCCATATCTCTGGCTATTATAATTTGGTCCCTGTCTAATTGCTGCTGCCCTTAAGCAGAATTTGTAGGCCTTTCTCCAGTTTTAATCAATGTCTCCTACCAAGAGGGTCCACGCACAATCTTTATAGATTCTTAAGGCATGTACACACACACACACACAATAGTGGCAATCCACATGTTTATGAACAATATCTCCAAAAATGCAGGTACTGGAGTTGTGGGAAGCAGACATTGGCAGCTGGTGGAGCTCATCTATGTTAGTGAGGTTACTGCACTTACGTCGTCTGAGTTCCTGGAAAGATGTTTAAACTCATAGTTTTCAGGCTAACATTTTTATAGTTACAATATGTTATAGAAATCTCATGTTTGATTGTAGAATGGTGTTTTAATTCTTGAAAGACTTATAATGCATTTAACACAAACACACACATCACCACACATACGTGATTTCTTAAGCATTATACTGGGTCTTTCAGGGCTTATGGTCAGAGAAGCTATACTAACCTCTGTACAATGTCATGATGACAGTCCTTGAGGGACAATTACTACACTAGTTATCCATGCCCCATAGTTATAATACCCAGCTCCATCTGTGTAGACAGATCCCTTTGGCCACATTTAAAACAGTTGCTGCCTTGGCTAATTAGCAGATAACATTAACACAAGAAGCAGATGAGAGTATATATCAAACTCTGAATCACAGCACTGTCACACTTGCCCTTAAAATACATGTCTCCAGTCACGAAAGCATGTGATTTTTTTTTTTCTTACTATTTAAGTATTATTAATGCAAATTATGTAGTACAATAATACAATCTCAGCATTATTAATGCATATTATATAGTGCACAATGTGCTGTTTGACATAAAATTTCCCCTTTGATTGTTCAGAGAAATAAGATATTGTTATTATATTTGTATATTCACGCCAAGTTTATTATGAATGAAAACATTGATTTTTGCACATATTAATTGTATTAATACGTTCTGCGTATATAATGAATGTGGGTCTCTTTTGGCTATTGCAGGATTACTATTAGAAGGTGAATTCATTTAAGGTTTCTTAGTAAAGTAGTGTTGCAATACAACAAACTTGGATTAATCTCTGGTAGAAAGATTCCTTCCTGCCTCCCTGATCA